CTCTCACGGCTTGAACGCCCCCGTCCGTCCATAGGAACTCTCACATCTTGAACGCCCCCGTCCGTCCATAGAAACTCTCACATCTTGAACGCCCCCGCCCGTCCATAGAAACTCTCACATCTTGAACGCCCCCGTCCGTCCATAGAAACTCTCACATCTTGAACGCCCCCGTCCGTCCATAAATGTTGCAAAGCTAAAGCCTCAAAGTTTCCCCAGTTGTGAGAAAAAGAAGATATGTTTGGCATTAGTTTTTGGAAATGGTTGTCTTGACGGGGGAAATTGTATTCATAAATGAGTAAATATTTCTGCTCATGCGTAAGTGATCATAAACGGAGACCGTGTTTGAAAAAAAGGATTGTAGTACAACTGAGAGAGAGATTTAATGAGACGGCACCGTCTATTGTTGCGTAAATCTCACCGTTCTGGAAGTGCAGTGTGTCATCTGAAGGGTAACACTTTAGCATAATGTTAATACTTTACACACAGTTTTACGACATTTTGATTTTTCATTCGCTAACAAAAATATGTAAGGTCGTTATGAATTTCATTGATAGGAATAATTTAATTTTTGTAGTTGGGATTTTTTTATGTCTCGCTCCAACTAGTCTTTTGACCCTGTAGACATTACTGGGTCTAACAGGCTTTGAACAAAGACCTACGTTACCGGTACTAACATGTTTTGAACAGAGGCCTAGATTACTGGGTCTAACAGGCTTTGAACAAAGATCTATGTTACTGGATCTAAAAGGTTTTGAATACATACCTACGTAACTGGGTGTAATATGTTTTGAACACAGACCTACGCTACTGATTCTAACAGGTTTTGAACACAGAGACCTACGGGACTGGGTCTAACAGGTTTTGAACAGAGACGCTACCCCTGGAGGCATAGGAGTTTCATTTCTAAGAATAATAAATAGTACTTAAGAAATATTGAGTTTGGAGTTCTCAATCCATTTAATAGCATTTAAATAGAGTATGATATAGTTAATGATGTCACCGTTTGACTGAAGATTGGAATTATAATAAAATATAATATTTGAAAAGTTTGAGACATCTCTTATGACTAAGGAATCAATCCATTCTTTTGGTGCTTACATCCCATAAAGGTCTTTGTCCTGTCTCACCACTTCCTTCCACTTAGGCCTAACTGATGCTTTTGTTTTCCATGCTAGGATTCCCAGCTGCTGGAGCTCCTCTTCACATCATCCATCCATCTAAGCCAGGGTCTGCCTTTGAGCCTTTTTATCTTTCTTTTTTTATTTTTGCCACTAGCGTGGTATCCTGATATAGAATATACAATTCCTGGTTGGTTCGTATTCTCCATCCATATTCATCCTTTGTTGGTCCATATATTTTCCGAAGAAATTTTATCTGCCATGTGTTTGATAAGCTTTCTAGCGTTTTCGTTAGGGTCCAAGTTTCACTTAAAATATGTTACAATTGGTCCGATTACAATTTTTATAAAAAGTTTTCTTTGTTTTTCTTGTAATGTTTTTAATTTTGATTTTTTTTTAGAATACAGAAGTATGCCCAAGACTATGGAACAGACACAATAAATACCAATACCATTTCTAATCACTAGAATAATATTGACATTGGTCACAAAATATTTTATATTTTTAATACATTTATTGGATACGAATCTCTATCGAACAATCTGATTTGATAAATTTAAGCAGAATACGTCAATTGAAAAATTGAAGACCTAAATACTTGGTGATGGTTAATTGAGTTCACAAATGTATGGCTTGGCTTCAATACAATCGCGGTGGTTGAAAAGTTGAGCTGTCCCGTCGTATAGAAAACAATCCTCGTCATGGTAAGCATCGTCCGGTTGATCTGAAAGGGGCATGCGTTCAAAAGAATTGTCAGTTGTTACAATACTGCAATTTTCCAGATTGACGAGTTTTTTTTATACGGACTTTGGAAATATTCTAAACTTGTGTTAAAGGAAAAAAAAAAAGTTGAAAAGTTTCTTTCTTTACGATTTTAAGAAGCAACGTTTGGAATGATTGTAAGTTTTTAGGGATTTTATTCATTTGACTTGTTTGCTCCTTGTGGTGCCTGCACAGTTATGTGGTGCTTGCACAGTTATGTGGTGCTTGCACAGTTATGTGGTGCCTGCACAGTTATGTGGTGCCTGCACAGTTATGTACATGGAGTATGATTTGTAAATTGTTGTCTGTTCTATTCTTTTATTTCTTTTCCCGTTTCTCTCTGTGAAGGTCTGTTTTCTCCCACTCTATTGGCATGCTGCTTGCACGACGCTATATTCAACATTTATACAACAAAAATCACACTTACAGACTCACTTGACTTGAAAAGGTAATCACGTTGCTCCGGAGACATTATTTCATCATCGTCCACCCATCTGAAGACATTCTCTTCTTCCATATCATTCAGTCCTATCCAATATTCTTGTTTTGTTACAGGTTGGACTTTATTCAAAATTTCAAGTTTTTCATTAAATTTAATGGTATACAGATGTCCGTTAAACACTGAAATTTAAAAAGAATTTATAAAAAAAAAAAAAAACCTTGAAAATAACGAAATGAGTTTTATGGGTTAAAAAATACACTTTTAAAATTATATCAAGAAAGGTTATTGGTGGAAATTTTAATTCGAAAAATATTAATGAAGATTTCAATTTTTTAGTTTTATTTTACACTTGCAATCCTCTTTCGCTTGGATGTAAGGAAGTGGCCGTTCTGTGAACCACACGCATGACACGACATTCCCCTCTCTCATCTGCAAACAACGGTGGTTTCTTTCACAAACACCACGGTTGTAGTACATGGTCCCCGATGGTACTTGTGAGTTGATGGTGGCGTTTACTCGACATGAGCCTGTTGAGAGTAGATAGAAGGGATGTGTGATTGTTTCACTTCATGAAATGAACTACTCTTCTTCCATATCATTCAGTCCTATCCAATATTCTTGTGTACACATATACACATTTCACAAAAAAGAAGGCCCAGATTATTACATCTCCTTTAGTTTTATATAAATCAACATGTAACCTTCTCACCCCCTATGCATATGGACAAGCCTGCTCTTCGACCCTACTTTGTGGATGTGGTCGGTGAACTTAAATGCAAACACCCAACCCCCCCCCCAAAAAAAAAATCCCGAGGAAGTACGGATGACCCAACAGGGAAAACCTGAGAGTCGGATTTGACTGGTCGACACACTGTCCCAAAATTACAGCTCTCTAAAAGGCCAGAGAGAGGGAGAGAGAGAGAGTGAGAGAGCTGTTGCCTTTGAGACCATCTATCATTACTAACCCTACCGAAATAGAGTGCGTTATGAGTATGTGTGTGTATTTGCATGTGTGTGTGTGAGGATTGTTTCTATAAAGGAGAGTTCATGACATAGCGGTGTAAAAATATTGAACTTTGACGCAGAGCTGGAAGAGATTTTATTTGGCCATGCAACAGATACATCCTACTATGTCCGAACACGCTGTAGTCTATAACACTTTGTCCTTTTGGGATCAATGTATACCATCTGCTCTTGAGGCGAAGGGGATAGACTCTCTAGACTCAGAAATTGTTTGTAGAATCCTTGATAATGTTGACAACATCTTCAATAGATCTCAGACCGCCACGCTGGCTATAGCTTGGATTGAAAGCTCTTGAGAAATCGGAACAAATCATCGCCAGCCAGACCTGATAATAGCTCACCCGAGTGTCGCAGATGATTAAACGCCGATTTCCATGAACTGGGCGGACTACCCGACTGCAAACAAACTTTATACAAAAATTCTCCGACGCAACGAGACCTTGATGGGAACTTTCCCACCAAAGCAGCTTGGTGGATTTTTGAAGGGCGAGCATTCCGCACTGTTCACAGTCTTCGACCACAACAAGACTCGGGGAACCTGCCGTGATTATTCCCAGGCGTCGGACACACACACGGTTTCGTTGATGAACACTCGATCAACCACCGGGCTCTGGGTTGGGGGGAGTTTTTTTAAATTTTTTTTTTGTATATTATACGGTAGTCTTTAAGCAGACGAAGCACGCCGCTTTAGTACAAGCCGGTTATAAAGATTTGCTCGGCCACTTAACTAATGCACGAGAACGAGTATTTACCAGGGACGCAGGCTCGTTGATCTTCTCTGTAGATAAAACTGCTGCAGAACTTGTACTGACTTAAGCATTTAAGAGTGCACTGGATGAGTCCTAAACCCTTCCACTGTGGTCCAAACCGAACAATGCTGAACGGTCGGTTTGAGTTTTTCTCAAAAAGAATCCCGGGCACCGCAAGCACTCCAAAAACTTTCATAAAAGAAGGACATAATTATACTCAAAATTTAATTTTTAGTAAAATGTAATACATACATTAATATATATATACAAGAAAAAAAGAAAATGGCGTTCCACAAAAGTGACATTTGTGCCAACTCTTGAATTAATCCCATTAAGGATATAACACGTTTAAACAGTGCGACTAAACATACACAAATTGTTTCAGCTCAATGAGCCGCTCTTTAGGAAATGCAAAAAACTTACCATAAAAAAGGGTCAATAGAGAAATACAATTTAAAATGGCACGGTTTGATGAGATATCAGGCATGATGTCACTGTTTTGTAGGCAACGTATTTAGAAGATGTAGGCTTTTGAATAAAAATTCACTTATTGCATGTCGTTTAACTGACTTCATTGAATCGGCCTTTAAAATAAGTATATTGGTTGTCATTTACCATTCGTTTCATAGCAACAAATGTATAATTTTTCAAGAGGTCTCAATATATTTTCAACATAACTGACACACATTTTGAAGAGCAAATTTCGTAATTTATACGCTTGTTTGAAAAAAAAATTAACAAGTTTAGAAATAACAACAACCCACAAACTTCTATAGACGTCTATACAAAAACATCCTCATCTTAAACCATTTTTCAGTTTTCTTTTCTAATCCAGTTTGTCTGAGTTTCACTGTTATTTTATCCAAAATAAAGACAAACAGAATTTCTGATGAAGAATCAATAGGTTCTGCAATTTGAATATAAATAACGCGGCTTAAAGAATTATTGCAATCAGGACATACTAAACTAAATATTGCATAACTCTGGTAATATTTCTGAGGTCATCGCGTGCATTATTTGCTGTATAAATATAATCTTGTTTGTTAAATTGATTTCCACCGTTGATGCTTACCCAAAGGTATGAGGGCTGCCATTTGAAACACGATAAATATATGTAAAAAAATGCCTTAAACAGAAAGACGTAGGTCCATAATGTTGTTGAATAATATTTTCGTAGAATTTATACAACCTTTTAAAAGATATAGCAATGCTGTAATGTCTTATATAAGTGTTCGTTACCTTAACATCTTTACCCTATGATCTCATCGAATATGATAATTTAAGAGTATAGATTTTGGACCCACTTGTCAAGTCCAGGGTTGGAAAAATTGATACCTTCTAGGTCTCCAGTGAAGTCTTTTTCCTGAATATTTTACAAAGCCATTTCTTTTATTTTGATTTACTTTACATATTCTAAGCATACACAAAATTTAGCAGATTAAAAAACAACAACAACATTTTAGTGCGATTCCACAGGCGTATTAATTTAAATTATAACATACGCTGTCTGACAATATTACTGGAGCATGGTCGGGTGGTGTGTGATTACATGCATCAATGCGGCCTATTTTAAATTACAGATATGAATAAGGTCTATGAAATAATATCAAATTCATCTATGCTCAATTGCCGTTTCCAATTAGAGGCAATTAATATGTGTTTTATAATTCCGATTTTGATTAGAGAACGTCTTCAAAAAATCTTCAAGTAGGAAACATGAAATGTTGATTTTAGTCTGAAATTAAAACTAATGTAAATTCAGGTAACAATCCACGAGCTCATCCGACAATTATTCTTCGGGTAACACAAATAATGAAAATAAATGAAAAAAATACAAATAATGCCCGAATGAAAAAAAAAAGCTTATAAGACATGAAGTATTGAATATTTTATTTACTATATCAAGCGTTAACAGAAGAAAAATTCATGAATTATTAGTCGTTTATGTTTATATTAGATAGTTTGTCCAACACTATCATTGATTCCCTTTCCATTTTATTCGGAACAAGAAACACAGAGATTTGAATAGGTTCTGCAATTTGAATATAAATATTTTATAGTGTTCCACTTCAAATCTCTGAACACCACAATTATTCAAAATATAAATAATTTTAACTTGTTTTTGTGTTAGGTAAAATGTAAAATAAATGTTATTTAAAAAAAGCTATTTGAAAATGAACGCTCCTTTACTTTTAAAAATAAAAACGCCCATTGTATTTATTATCATCACCATTGTGTCTTGTAGAAACACAACAAACCGAGTGAATTTGGACAACAAACCAATTCAGACTCATTGACCCTTCACACAACGTGGTATAAATGCCATGTTCTCATTCACGTATTAAACCTTTTCTCCGCTCCCCTCTGATCGCAGTTGACGCACTTTCCTATATTCGGTCTCATTCAGCCTGCATTTAATCTCTCACTTACTCATGTACAATATTAACAAAAACGACAAGCATAAACTAGTACAAGACACAGGGCCACTGGATCAAAATTAGTTTTATTTTTAAATATAGCGTAAATGAATTAAAATAGTTTTATCTTATTTTGAATCACAGCTACAAATAAAGCCTTCTTCGCCCATGTTCATATGCGCATTTAAATTTTTGAGACAGTATTTTTTTTTTAAATCTCACAAATATAAGCTTTTTGTCTATGACATTTGTCGTCGTGCAGACGTTGTGTCCTTTGGTCGTATACGACACAATCCTCACCAGAGTCAGCATTGTCTGGCTGATCTGAAATGTAAACGGCAAAGCGTAAAACAAATACTCGTATACAAGCTAGAAAACTGAAACCCGAACATTACTAAAAACCTATCTGTGTAAACAAAAAATGAAAGGAAATAAAACAAAGATTTCCTGTTTGGGTTGGAAATGAAATAAGGAGAAATCAACAGTTTTTTTTTCTATTCTAAAATAAATTCACCAAGGCCGTAAAACATCAGGCGCTTTGCTATTCTCACTCACTTGGCTTAAAAAGTCGAATACGCTGCTCCTGAGACATTATTTCACCATTGTCCACCCACCTGAAGACATTCTCTTCTTCCCTATCATTCAGTCCTATCCAATATTCGTTATTTGGTACAAGGTTTGCTCTTTTTAAAATGTCCGACTTTTCCGTACTTCTCATGGTATAGAGGTGTCCGTTATATGCTGAAATTTTAAATAAACCTTAAGACAAATATAGATGTCACCTTCCCAGATTAGAATAGTTACATATCGTTTGAGGTGGAGAATAACAATTATTTAATTACTAATCATTAGCTTTATTTGTTTTAATAATAAATACGAAAACAATAATTGTTACAGCTTCACCTTTTCGAAGTCTAAATGTATTTGTTTTTGTTGATTCGATGGGGAGAGTAAAGGTTAACTGTTAATAGGGGTAGTATTATGGCGTGTGTGTAAACCTAATTTTTGGGTTGTGGTCAGTATGGATCTCGCCTTTGTTTTCCTTAGATATTGACGTCACCGATTAAATGTTCTGTACTACTCCTTTTACCCACCCCTCCATGGATTGGGAAAAGGTTGCTAACGTTCGAATACGTTCTATTTGTTCTAATGAATGCTATTAGGTTAGGCATTTCTTTAGGATTCCGATTTACTCCCTATACATAGACTGGCAGCTGTCCTCGCCGGGGGAGATTTTTGCTAATTTTGCAAGACATAAACAAGGCTTTAAATGCTTTCAAGATTGAAGTCTCTGTGTGAATTTAATATTCGTATCTTTCGACGATTCTACCCTTTCACTTGCTGTGCTGTAAGTTGATATAGTTTTTTTTTTTTATTTGATGTTTTATTTTATATAAATATAATAGTAAACTTAAATTGAATATTGTTAGTATGACTAGCGTTGGTATCGTTTTCTTTGAAAACTGATTTTTCAACTCTATATAAAAGTATTTTTCATTGGAAAAGCCAAATCTGAAAACAGATTAAATTTTCAAAACCATAGAACGCTACGTGACAGACAATAATGGAGGATAGACGATAAAGAAAAGTGTGAGAGAGGGGTCTGGCGTGGAGGATTGTGTTTTGTCGATGGGAAGAATTTGGGCAATGAAGGAGTATGGGGATTGTGTTTTGTCGATGGGAAGAATTTGGGCAATGAAGGAGTATGGGGATTGTGTTTAGGGCACCGCGAGGCACGTTAGTAAGGAATATGAGGCTATGAATTGACTGGGCGCCGTGTCGTGGAGATGATGAAGTAGTCAACTATTTGATTATGGATGAATGAATTGAGTAATCATTGAATTACACACGCACACACAAACTGCTGGAATATCGGATTCTTTAAAGGTTTTAAGCAGACTAAAGATTTATTTAGGACACCCCCCCCCCTTATAAGTAAAACATAACAAATTACTAGAAACTTCATTGTTAAACTGATTTTACATTTGCAACTGTCCTGAGCTTCAGTAGATGAAATAGGTGATTGTACCACCCACAAACATGTCGTTGAATCTTTCACAGTATATTCCACACAAGGGTGAGTTCTTTTACAAAGTTCTGGCTTGTAGTACATGATCCCTTGTGGTACTTGGGGGTTTGGAGTGACATTCACCATACATGAACCTGTTATAGATAGCGGACATATCCAATACTTAAGGAGAAATGTGATTTAAGCATCAACAAAAAACCAAAACTATTTTGTTGGAAAATGTCCTAATTAAAAAAAAAAGTAATGTGGTTCATACATTTAAATACAAATTTGGAATATAAATGCAATTTAAAGCATCTGACATGTAAAATTAATTTATTACGTATATGAAAATCTATGTAGGCTACCATTAAAAGTCTTTTATTAACTTTTTCTGTATAAACTGCACCCCATAAGATGAGTTTGACTTATTCTCGCATCATCTACAAAAGTAACAATGCATTTTACAATGGCAAAAGAGGACTTTTAAAAAAGAATTAAAAAATAGACATTTTAAACTTATAATACAGGCTTGTGTATTATCACATATAGTTAAATTTTAACGAATAATTTACGAAATATTACCAAGTTTATAATAGAACTTAAAAGTCACTGACTTCTCTGTTGTTATAATCACTTATCCCTGTGTCACGTAGAAACCCAAAATTAAACGAAGAACATGTAATGTTCAATTGCCAAGAAATCTTTTTTTTTCATATCGAGTTGAAGAATTTAATGAACTTTATTAAATGCTACTGGTATGCTAACACATCTAAAATCACGTGCAAACATCTGCACGTGCGAAAACACACGTGCTTATTTTATATAAAACTATAAGGGAGTCTTTATCTCCCTCTTACCAGGAACACATGTTTTATTGTCGTACACGACCCCGCTGCACGACGTGTTGAGCTGATGTAAACATCGACGAGTGCATTCAATGAGTCCTATTCCAGTCCACACCTGCAATTGCCGGACAAAGCCAATGCTTTGATTGGTGTTTTTTTTGAAGATAATTCCAGACTCCCCACGAACTGCTACAAATATCATCAAACAAATTATGTAATGATATCAAAATAAACTTTTTGTAAATATTTTCGAGATTTATATTCAAGAAAAGTTGAAGCTTTGTTAAAAATACAAAATACGTTCTAAAATAAGAAGTTGAACAGGAAATGCACACACTTACAATATAACGCCAACATTAGCAATATCACTTTTAAAGCGTCCTCGAGAGGTGAGATATTAAACATGATTTATCTTTTTTATACACGCACATCCGTGTTGCCCGTAAAAGAGTAAGGCTATTTAAAGAAAAAAAAAGTTGTCCTCTTATGTTTTTTGACGGACTTCACTGACGTTGTTATTTGAATGAATAATAAAAAAATTAATTGTTTTATATGAGTTTTTCACAAAACTTTAAGACAATTTTTTTTTTTAGAAATGTGGAGGCAAAATTAGAATTATTCGCTTTTAAACCTATGCACTCAATAATACACATGAAGAATGGATCTTTGAATAACAATGATCCGTTCTTTATATACAAAATACGATTTAAGTAAAAATGGACGGGTAGATACGTTGAGATGCTTATTGATAGCAGACTTGTAGGCAGCTACACGTCTGAATGTCAACATATTTGTATTCTCTGCAGTAATGGAGTTGATCCGACGAGTAACATTGTTTTATCGCGATGACGTCAACAAGAATTCCTGATGAAGAACCACTAACAAGATAAAAGAAGAAATTGAGCAATGGCACACGATTTGATAAATATTGCATCACCTTATGCAGTTTCAAAGGGAAGAACTCGAATTACTCTTTTGATGTATATTAAATAGAATATGTTTCGTTGAGTCGAAACCCCCCCCCAAAACCCGGTAACTGGGCGCCACTAAGGGTGGTGCAGATTCACTGGGTCGTTCTAGAAAATATTTTTCCTTTTGGACCTTCTCCGTGATCTCCTGAATATTGCAATACCTTAAGCAGTTTCAAAGGGAAGAACTCGAATTACTCTTTTGATGTATATTAAATAGAATATTTTTCGTTGGGTCGAAACCCCCCCCCCCCCAAAACCCGGTAACTGGGCGCCACTAGGGTTGGTGCAGATTCACTGTGTCATTCTAGAAAATATTTTTCCTTTTGGACCTTCTCCGTGATCTCCTGTGCATCAACATACCTATAGCTTTGTCTGTGACAAAGTTATAATCATATAAATCCAACAATCTCATAGCGACCCCACGCTGAAATTAGTCTTAGAGCGTGTCTTTTTGACGCTAAGCTGACATAAATCTCATAGCATGTCTTGTGACGCCAAGTTGAAATTAATCTCATCGCTCGTCTTCTGACTCCAATTTGACAATAGTCTAAGAGCGAGTCTTCTGACTCTGACGCTAACCTGACATTAGTCCTATCGCGTGTCTTCTGACGCTAAACTAAAATTGGTCTCATAGCATGTCTTGTGACGCCAAGTTGAAATTAATCTCATCGCGTGTCTTCTGACTCCAATTTGACATTAGTCTAAGAGCGACTCTTCTGACTTTGACGCTAACTTGACATTAGTCTTATAACGTGTCTTCTGACGCCAAGCTGACACTAGACTCACAGCTGGTCTTGTGACGCCAAGCTTACATTAGTCTCACAGCATGTCTTCTGACGCTAAGCTGACACCAAAAATGTTTCACCATGATTTTAGATTCCCATATTTCGGTAGTACACTTATTAGCAAAGCAAAACAAAAAAAGCATCATGGCATGGATAGACCCCTGCTCGGCCTTGTATGACGTACTATGCGCTTGGAAAAAAACAATTTTGTTTCACTGTAATCCGTTAGCATAACGCGTTTGACAGGATTTACGGCATTTCCAAAGTATTTTGTAAAAAAAATCAATTCATGCAGGCGCTGAGTTGAAACAACCGCCCAGCCCTCCCCCAATACAAACAACAACACACACAATGTAAGCGTAACAGCAAGCACAGAAAAAAAAATAGAAGACATAAGACAGCTGGATCAAGATAAGTTTTAATTTTAAACATACTGTCAAACAATTAACATCGTTTTAACTTATTTCGTCAATTACAACAGTAACTGAAGATTTCTTTGTCCTTGTTAATACTCATCCACCTTGTGTCAGACCTAATGTACTTTTATCTCACAAATGTACGCTTTTTGTCTATGACATTTGTCATCGTTTAGAAGGTATATCTTATCTTTGTACACGACACAGTCCTCACCAGGGTCAGCATTGTCTGGCTGGTCTGAAATGTGAACGGCAAAGTGTAAAACAAATGCTTGTTAAAAAATTAGACCGTTTAAAAATTTAAACTCTGCACTTTACTGAGCATATCAGTTTTTAAAAAAAAGGAGAGGAAGTAAAACAAAGATTTACAAAAAATATTTCAAGTTTTGGTTTGGAAGCAAGGAATCTCAAATAAATGTCACCAATGAAATAAGCTGAGGACAACATTATTTTTGCTATTTTAAAATAAAATCATCACAACGCGTAAAATATAGGCGCTTTGCTATTCTCACTTACTTGGCTTAAAAAGTCGAATACGCTGCTCCTGAGACATTAATTCACCATCGTCTACCCACCTGAAGACATTCTCTTCTTCCCTATCATTCAGTCCTATCCAATATTGGTTATTTGGTACAAGGTTTGCTCTTTTTAAAATGTCCGACTTTTCCGTACTTCTCATGGTATAGAGGTGTCCGTTATATGCTGAAATTTTAAATAGAAATAAGAAAATATTTTATAACTGAAACCCTCCCCCCCCCCCCC